AGCTACTGAATATAGAGAGGGAGCGAACCCCCACATACACTAGCACTGATGATGTTACCTAGTTGGGTAATGAAACGTATGCAAGCTCAGCACCAAGGACTCCACAGTTCTGTTGCTGTGCTGGCATGATGGGGACAAAAAGATCATTTCACCTTAGTACCTTTTTAAAGGAAATAGCTGGTCTATAAATTTATGTTGCAGCAGCTGCTACTACCCTCTATAACCTCAGATTTGTTTTAATTTTTGACAGAAATCAAAAGATGTTCTAACAGTTATAAGCCTAAAGCTCACACATAAAAGATACCATTTTACATTATTCAACTGAGATTGTGGGTAACAAATCTCAGCTTTTCAAAGATGGAAAATACTTTGTATGAAAAAAGTACATAAAGGTGATTTCTCTGTTTATGGAAAGGTCCCAATTATCCACTCTCCTATCTCACAAGTATTTCTTGCCCACTTTCATAGATGTCATAATGAGGATAGTGAGAACAGGACATCAGACACTTGAGAACAACTTCAGCTGGAGAATTTATGGCACTTCTTAAAAGGCAAAACTCAAGGCTCCAAAACAGGCTGCATATTCTACCCACTCTATTTTTTCCAACAGATTGGAAACTATAGGCTAATGCTGAAGATACTTGTTTACATGCATGAGATCTTTTACTGAAGAGATTTTATATGACATTCAATGGGTATATCATACATTGCTTAGATACTGTTTCAGAAGTCAGAATATATTAGTAGTAAGCCTGTCAAGAACAGGAAAATTTAGGGGTTGGATCAAAGACAGACGGTTTGTTTCTGATTGGAAGGGAGGGCAGGGATTGTTCTTAGCCTGAACTTCTCAGTTCCAAAATAAGGGGAAGGCAAATAGTTGCCAGGTGGACCATAGTTCTGCCAAGCTAGGAAATAACGGGCCAGAAGGCTGAACAATACCAATAGTTTTACATGCTGAGGAATGTATCTTGATGGATCACCTAATTATAAGGTCTTAAAAGAAAGCCATTACAGGGAGAAAAGTGTAATGAACTCTTCCCCATCCCTCCAGAACGGAACAAATCACAGAGCAGGAAATGTTTTTTGGCACACAATAAGGAGAGAGAAGGTTCACTTCTTCACTAGATTCTTTAACTTTCTTTTATATATATGCATGTGGCAGCAGTTTTTCTTGACACTTCTTGTGCTGTAATTTATCTCAAGAGCACACAGAATGGGGAACTTTGTATTATTTTGGATAGATTGTCCATAATGTCTTCTATAAATTCAGGAGAGTTCTGGTTAAACTTCATTGTTTCTTCAGGATTGTATTTCCGTTTTAATTAGCTTAAAAGCCATCTAATGTCTTTATCTTTTTGTCTTAACATCAAGCAATCAATAGTTTTACTTTAGACAGCACTACCTATGTATTTAATACAGATTTTTTGGTTTTAGATTCTTGGATAAGCAAAATGTTGAACATATTTAGTTCCCCTAAATGTCTTACTCCTTTTTCTTTGTATTTTATGTTTTCCTTTCTGATGCTCAGACTTCACTATGTCTATGAACATTCTACATTTCTATCTGGATTAATTCTGTTGAGGTCTTAATTTTGAACATCAGGTTGATTTCTGTTGCCTTTCATGTGAACTCACATGAGTAGCAAATCAACCTTTTTTTACCTAGCCTTTAGACAAAATTATTATATAGTTTAGAAAAGATTAAATTTTTGTGAGAACACTGGCACATTAAGGTCAGTTTTATAGTGAATCTTGCACATTGTAAATCCTGT